AAATAAGAAAACCAGCAGTTAATCTTGACATTCTTTTGTCTGTATGAGTATTATTTGCTTTGGAACAAACAATGACTGAATTATGCTCCCTTTCTTACACACCCTTTATTTTTTCCTGGAGTTAAAAGTTGTTTTATTTTTTTATCTGCTTGATTTTCCGTGTCATTACTGTTTCCCCAAGTTCACTCTTTGTCATATGCCTATTGTTTGAGTTTGTTTTTGCATCACTATGACCAAAATACCTGACAGGAATATGTAAGAGAAGGAAAAGTTTATTTGGGGCTCAGGTTTTCAGAGGTTTCAGTCTATAGTTGGTTGAATCCATCACTCTGGGTCCAATAAGGCAGCCCATCATGTGGGGAGAGGGAGATAGGGAGAGCCACAGGGGCAGATGTGCCCCAGCAATCCACCTCTTCCAGCCACTCCTCATCTGCCTACAATTACCACCCAGTCCATTCATACTAGGTGAACTGGTTGGGTTATAGCTCTCATAATTTAATCATCTACCCTGACTATTTCTGCATTAACAGGAGCTTTTGGGGGACACCTAATATCCAAACCATCACACCTATCATTATTTTTAAAAATCTCAAGTGTATCTAGTCCATATTCACCCCTGCAGGGGCCTGTCTCCTGGAACCCTCTATCTTCTGTATTAGGACCGGATGCCTGAAGCGTCATTGTCATCCCGAAGCTTCCCTTCAGTGTCACTTAGGGAATTCTTTTTTTTTTTTTTTTTTTAATTTGAATCCTGTTATCTGCATTCTGTCTTAAAGTTTCCTGGTTTTGTTTAAGTAAATAGTATCTTGCTGATAAGGGAAGATACTTTCCTTTATTTAAGGGAAATCAAACTGTCTTTTTTTATGTCTCAAAATGGCTTTATTCTACTTTCACACTTCATTTGTCGCTTCATTGGTATAGAATTCTGGATTTGAAAGGTTCATTCTCAGAACTTTGAAAGTAGTGTTCCATGGTCTTCTAGCATCCAGTGTTGCTGTTGAGAACCCTAGGTGTGTGTGTGTGTGTGTGTGTGTGTGTGTGTGGTGCTTACATAATATTTGCTATGAACCTAGCTTTATTTTAAGCATTTTATATCTATTACCTCATATATAAGGGAGATATTCTTATCTCTATTTTAGAGATGAAGAAATGAAGCAAGAGAGGTTAAGTAATTCATCCAAAGTTGTACAACTAGTAAGTTGAGTTACAAATTCAGGTAGTTGCTTAGCTTCAGAATCCATTTTCTCAACTACAGTTCTATCTCACCTGCAATGCCAATCTCTTTCCAATAATTTCTATGTGACTTGTATTATCTTCTTGGAACATGTAGTTCTTCTCTTTAGACCCGATGTTCTCAAGTACCACAGAGATGAATCTCGGTGTGTTTCTTTCATTTGTCATGCCAGGTGGGTCTCAGTGGACCTCACCATCTGGAGAAATGTTACCTTTGATTCCAGAAAATTTTCTTTTGAGATCATTTTTTGATGATTTCCCCCCTCCATTTCTCTCATTTGTATTTTTTTGACTCTTATTATTCAGATATTGGATTTCCCAAGTTGATTTAAAATTTTTCTTATCTTTTGTTTACTCTTATCTTTTGTTACTCTAACTCTTGGATATTTTATTCTACTTTCTAAAAGAAATTTTTGTTTTTATTTTCTAATGTCCTGAATGAGTTTTAAGTTTTTGTTGTATTTTTAATTGTTAAGAGGCTTTTCATGGGCTGGGGTTGTGGCTCAGTGGTAGCACACTCACCTAGCAAGCTCGAGGCCCTGGGTTCGATCCTTAGCACCACATAAAAATAAATAAAGGTATTGTGTCCAACTACAACTAAAAAATAAATATTTAAAAAAAGAGGCTTTTCATATTCTCCAACTGGTCTCTTTTTACTGTATTCTGTTCTTGCTTAACTCTCTAAGGATACTAATTACAATTTTTTTTAAAGTGTCATTTGGTTTCTTTTATTTTTTTGTTTCCTCCTGCTCCCTTTGTTTGACTCCCTGGGGTGGGGATGCCTTTGAATTCAGACTGTGTACCTGATGTCCATGTCATGCCTGACACCTGCTTTTCCTAGTTCCAAGCATCTCCCAGCACAGGGGCTCTGGGGGTTCTGTGGAGTTGTGGCTTCATGCTTTTCTACCAGTCAGTTGCTTCTCCTCTCTCTGCTACACATCCTCCGTTGCCTGTCTACTGATGTTTTATCTGGAGCCTCTTTCTACAGGTGGATTAATCCCTTTTTATTATAACTTTATTTTTTTGTGAGGTTTTAAAAGAGTAGATAAATGTGTAAGTTCAGTCTGCAGGAGATCCATGCTCCCTTGCTTTCTAGGTTTTTGAACTACACCCCCTTAAAATTCATATGGTGAAGTCTTCACCTGCAGTATCTCAGAAATTGACCTTATTTGGACATAGGATCACTGTATTTGTAGTGAGTTATGACGAGATCATATTGGAGTGGGTGGGCCCATAAACCAATATGACTGGTATTCTTAGAAGAAGGGAAAATTTGGACACACATGTGCACCCAGAAGAATGCCATGTGAAGGCTGTAGTGATAGTGTCACAAGCCAAGGCATGACCCAGGAAAGACTCCTGGATCAGATCCTCCTTGATCTTGGACTTCAGCCTCCAGAACCATGACACAATTCTTCTGTTATTATAGTACTTTGTTTCAGCAGCCTTAGGAAACTAATACATCTTATGCCCCAGTCCAGCTGCGGCAAAATAGCCCCGGGGGGTGACGAATAACTTGTGTACGTTGATACAGCAGGAGAGGGAGCCGTTTATTGTAGGACAAACAGAGGTATTTATACATTTTGCACAGCTTATCTTAATTAGCATAAACTAGATACATCAGTCAACCAATAAGGAATCTCCACACTTAATGGCTCACTTTTGTT